GGAGCGGCAGCTGTGCGAGATGGAGGGCTGCCGCCTCCGCGTGCAGGAGCTGGAGGCCGAGCTGCTGGAGCTGCAGCAGATGAAGCAGGCCAAGACCTACCTGCTGGGCCGGGAGGACCACCTGGCCGAGGCCCTGCTCGCGCCCCTCACCCAGGCCCCCGAGACCGATGACCCCCAGCCCGGCAGCGGGGACGACCCGGGCGCCCAGGACGGTGTCGCCTCTCCGGCCGCGTCCCCGGGCCACGCTGTGCGCAAGAGCTGCAGCGACACAGCGCTCAACGCCATCGTGGCCAAAGACCCAGCCAGCCGGCACGCGGGCAACCTCACGCTGCACGCCAACAGCGTGCGCAAGCGCGGCATGTCCATCCTGCGGGAGGTGGACGAGCAGTACCACGCGCTGCTCGAGAAGTACGAGGAGCTGCTGAGCAAGTGCCGGCAGCACGGCGCGGGGGTGCGGCACGCCGGCGTGCAGACCTCGCGGCCCATCTCCCGAGACAGCTCGTGGAGAGACCTTCGTGGGGGCGAGGAGGGCCAGGGGGAGGCCAAGGCAGGTGAGAAGAGCCTGAGCCAGCACGTGGAGGCTGTGGACAAGCGGCTGGAGCAGAGCCAGCCGGAGTACAAGGCACTTTTCAAGGAGATCTTCTCCAGGATCCAGAAGACCAAGGCCGACATCAACGCCACCAAAGTCAAGACGCACAGCAGCAAGTGACCCTTTCCCCGCCTGCAGCCTCCCCCCGGGGTCTGGCCATGGGGCTCCTCCTGCCCTGGCGGCGCAGCCTCGCGGGAGGGAGGGAGCCCCGTCAAGCAGCAGTACGGCCCAGGGGAGGCTGCTCTCCAGCCCAGGCAGCGTGTGGGGGATGCAACTTGTTCTCTGCTCACTCGGGAGCCGATCAACATGGAAAACGGCTGGCCTCCCAGGACCGTCCACCACCCTACGTCAGCCCAAAGACGCAGCTGAGAGTTGCAGAGCCAAACGTCCCCACTGCCCGAGGATTCCCAACTCCCCAGCCCTTGACTTCCTGACCCTGGGCCTTGCTCACAGATTTGTGGCCACGCTTCTGAAAGCCATTCTGGACCACTTGGCTTTTTTTTTTTTCCTTCCTTTCCAAAGTTCGGTTTTTTTGAGAGATTTGCAATGCAAGGTCTCCCCACACCCTTGCCACAACTGGAAACACTTGAAGGGAGATCCCCAGGCCAGCTGTTGCAGGTTCCAGGGATCTCCTGGACCACCCACTGCTTCTCCTCAGCTGTGATGCGCTGTCATTCCTTTAGCACCAGCTGTCCCATCTCCAGGGTCCTGACCAGGTCAGGGACGGCTCCTGCCATGCAGAGCAGAACGCCTCAGCCAGGCCCAGAGTGCCCCCCACTTTTCCCTGGAGACCCTCAGCCCACTGCAGATCTGTAGCCAATCAGAGGAGGGGAACAGGGAGCCCCTCGGCAGCCATACACGAACAGTGCACCCTGCCTCCCTCAGAGCCAGCCTCCTAGGGCTCCAGCCCCTGGAAATGCCTTCTGGCCATTAAGCCTTCCAGGAGTCTGGGCGGTGGGGAGCTCCCATCTCTGCACGCCACCTCTGACTCACCAAGCTTGGCCTCTGCCTGCCCCCATCTCAGGGACCATGATGTGTCTCATTCACTCCCATGCTCCCCACAGGCCGACCCCTCCTCAGATCATGCCTGCTGCCCCCAGAATGTCCCGGGCATGTGCCACCAGCCAGTGGTCCCAGCATCCACCCCTGCCCCCCTTCCCTGGGGACTGCCCAAGATCCCCATCTATACTGAACAGTATTAAAATGGGACCTGGTGGGGAGCATGTCTCCTCTCTCCCATAGAATGCCTGTTCTTAACCTCCCACCTTTCTGGGGGGCTTTTGAGCACCCATTTGGGTCACAGGTTAAACCTTTTGTTAAGGCTTCAGAAAGTCCAGCTTCAGCTAAGAGATGTCCAGGTCCCCAGCTTGCCCTGAGCAGTTCTTCAGGGTTCTCAGTTCCTTCTACCACCCATCCGGAGATCCTTCCACACAGCCCGGCGGAAGGTGGCAGCCCTGGCCTCTGTGCTGGGAACCCAGCAGGGACCTTCATGCCTTATCTGTTTCTAAGGGGTAAAGGAGTTTTCTTAACAAGCATGCCTGACCTCCCTAGAGTCGCTACCCTGCTCTCCGGGCGGCACTGTGATGAGCGCTGTCGGCTGGTCCTTCCGTTCACACATCTTGGAACCCTTTGTCCTTTGGAGCTGGGCAGTTCCCAGCCCTCCATGTGTCTCTGTCATCTAGGGTGGAGGGGATAGGGTGGGGGAAGGGCTCCTGCCTGTTTGCTCCCCAGTTCTGTAGCGGCCGGCCAGCGTCACCTTTGAAGTATACATGAGAGAAATATATTTACAAATGCTTTATTCTCTTCTTTAATAAAAAATGCACCAGTATTCTAAAAGCAGAAATGGCCCTAGAGCCATGCTCTTGTCTTTGTGCCTCTCACACACCCACCTGTCATCACACAGCTCTGGGTCTGGGTTGGGGGAGGGGGGACGCATCCCGAGCTTCGCTCTCCTGGGATCTGCAACCAAACAGCAAAATGCCTGGTGGGTGTTATCAGGGCACTGGGCAGATAAGGGGTGGTGGTGAAGGAAGCGGAGGCAGATTTGCCCACTCACTCTGCACTGTCTGCTCACTGTCCTTCACAGAAGAAGGAAGGTGGGTCTAGTTTAGAATAGAGCTAGTGAAGACTGGATTTCCCACCCAGTGCTGCAGAGAAAAAAAAAAAAAAAAAAAGCCACCCAATCCCTGAAAGTAAAAAGAAGTTCCTAATCATCTCCTCGCGGCAGCTCACTTCTGTTGTCTGCTGACTTTGTGCCAGGCCGCATCAACCTTGGGAGGCTCTGTTCTACTGATGGAGATTCGGAGGCTTCGGGGTTGAATTAGTAATTCAGAGTCACACAGAAACATTCAAACCCCGAGCTGACCTGTTCCATTCTGCAATACTGCACATTCTTATCTCTTTATAATGTTGAGTTTTAAGAGCAGTTGGACCCAAACACTCCAGAAAAGAAGAAAGGAAAATCCTATGGGTCCCCGACACGGTAGTGGTCTCCCAACTCACAGGCCAGAGAGAAGGGCTTGTGTCTACAAGCTCGTCAGCTACCAGGAATGGCTTAGTAATGCTTTGCCTTGTTTTCCCTGTTTTCCTCTTGCCTCCGAAGGACCCCTTCTTGAAGCCCCATTTCAGCCAGTGGAGGACCAAGGAGGGGATGGAAAGTGCCCACCTTTAAAGGGAACAGGTGGCACTTCTCAGCCTGTTTCTTCCAGAAGGGCCTCTATTCTGGATGGTTCACAACAGCAGCGGGTGAGAGGAGCTTGCCAGCTGCTCCCCTCTCCACCCAGGAGTAGCTTGTCTCACTCTCTCCTCTACCCTCTTCCTCATCCAGAATCCAGGCCACCAGATGGCCTGAGCAGGCTGTGTTTATTTGAGGCCATGGAAACCTACAGCTCCTTTTTTCTATCACTCTGGGTCAGGAGCAGGGCTGGAACCCAGCCTCAGAGCAATGACGCCATGAAATGGTGCTGACTTTATTATTCATAATCCCTGAGCTGTCAACCTAAGTGAGTCCCTGGCTTTGCTCCCTGGAGCAGCTTTTTCCGGTCACCATAGTGACGCCTCAGTTCCGTTTGAGGTCTTGGGACTAAGACAGGGAGGGACCCAAGAGATTCAGAGATTCTCTTTCCAGCCTAGAGCCCAAAAGGCAAATGTCTATCGTCATTCCCTTCCTAGTTTGAGTTTACAAGGCCAGTGCCTGGGAAGTAGTTTATTCCTTCCCGAAGAATATGCCTGTAGTGATAAGACTAAAACGTAAAGGCTTGATTTGATGACAGTCTCCTGTTTCAAACAGCCAGCATCCCTAGGGACATATTTTTCTAGGTAATTGTGCTTTTACTAAAAATAGAACTCTTCATTACAAAACAATCACTGGGATGACTAATAATCACTAGTCATTTATCAAGTTACCCACACTGCCTCTCAACAAAGAAACTTAGCCAACACTTAGCTCTCTCCAAACACTGCTTGCTCTATCTACTTTGAACCTGAGTTAGAACTTTTGTTTGGAGGTTCGTGTCTTAAGAATCCTGGAAAAGGGCTCTGCTTAGCCTGTCTGTGGTGGCCTAGATCTCTACCCTTTCCCCCAACATTCCTTTACCTCCTGGCTAAGAGAAACCCTCATCATGCTCCCACAACGCTGTTTCTTCTGCGAAGGGGTGTGGGTCCGTTTTAAACACACGTCTTTCTCCACCTGCCAGCTTCTCCCCCCATCTGGTATCTGTCTTGTGGAGTCTTCACACACCTGCTCAGCTGGCATGTGCTTAAACTGCCTTGTGAATGACCCTGAAGTTACCAAAACTCAGCTCTAGCAGAATTCACCTTTCAAAAATACTGCCAAATAACTCATAAATATTGAGCATCTGTGATTTGCCAGGTTCTGGGTGCTGGGGACCCAGCCGGGAGCCAGTGCCCCCCCCCCCCACCCCAGCTTATTATATTCTGACTGGAGACGGGCAATGAACTAGAAAAATAAGATTGAGTGACATGAAAGAAAAAAAGAAGAGAGAGTAGAGCAGAGTCAGAGTACAGGGGATGCAGACGGACTAGGCCGGGCATTGACGGACTGTGTGAAACTCGGAGGGGAGAGCGGACCGGGAGGGCGTCACTGCCCCTGAAAAGGAGAGAAGTGGTGTTTCTGGGGGACACGGATTCCGAGGGTTCTTTTCACCAGGAGGCTCCCTTGAGAGCTCGCTGTCTGGCCAACAGAGGATCTCAGCGCTCCAACCTGGCCTCCCCACGGCGGCCAGCCGAAGGGGAGCGTCTCGCAGGTGCCAGGGAGAGCAACCCCGGAGCTCAGCTCGCTGCCTCCCAGCTACCCCGGCGGGAGGAACTAAAAGCCGCGCGGAACTAAAATCCTGACGGAAACAGGAGCCAGCGGACCGCGGAAGGAAGCTCCCACCGGAAGCCGCCCCGAGGTCCGAACATGGCGACCGTCCGGTCCCTGCACTGGAGTCTGAGACGAGCCGGGGCCTGGCTGCTCCCGCCGCCCCCGAGCTGTCCCCAGCGGGCTCTGCACAAGCAAGCAGAGGACACCGAATTCCAGAGCATCTACAGCCTGGACAAGCTCTACCCGGAATCCCGGGGCTCGGACACCGCATGGAGGGTGCCGGTGAGCGGGGAGGGCTGGACGGAAGGGGCGTTTCCCAGTCCCTGCTGGGGGGACATCGGGAAACCCGGGCAGCATCGGGCGGGAGCAAATCGGAGGTGCGCGCGGAACGAGGCGGTGGCCGCGGGAGGGAGCTTGTGTCCGGGGTGAGCGGGGATAGGGCCGCGGAGCTGGACCTGTCCCCCGGAGGCCTGGAGTGTGCAGGCGTCGCGAGAGCACGCTGAGTGTTTCTTACGGGACCGCCGGCGTTTCCGCGCTCGTCCCCCGGCCTCCTGGCCCACACGTGGGCATTTCCCCTCCAGAGTGGACAGTAAAACCCAAAGGCTGCCAAACGGTTTGGAACCTTTTGGGAAATTACACTGTCTATAGCTTCTAGGAACTTAGCGCGCCTTAGGAAACAGGGCCCCTCTTCAGGGTGCACTGATTACCAGCCTGCTGGGTACCGGCTCTTAACGGGCCCCGGGCGGAGGGATAGGACCTAGCCAATTCTGTTGCGTTTCCACCGACGGGACTGAAAGGGAACACTCAACTTCAGTTGAAAGCATGGTGTGTGCACTATGTCAGGCATGGAGATAGGGAAGTTAAAAAAAAACATAATCTGAATGCTTGTGGAGCTAATCTTCTAATGGAGGGAGACAAGCAACAAATAAAATCAGAAATATAGAGTATGTGAGATGGTCATGAGTACTTTTGGGGAAATAAAGCCTAGACGGAAAGAGTGCTGAGGTAGGGGGAAGGGTTGCAGTTTTAAGCAGGGTGGCCTAGGAAGGCCTCTGGGAAGATGACATCTATTAAGAACCTGGAAGAATCAAGGCAGTGGGCCATGGGCATAGTTGGGGAGATGAACATCTCTGCAGAGATGAACATTCCTGGGACCACCTCAGCGATAGCATGCTTACCTTGTTGGAGGAACGGCGAGCAGGCCAGTGTGGCTGAGCAGGAGAGTCAGAGCAGATAAGGCTGAACAGGAGAGGTGTGGGGGCGGCGGTGACATGTTTACAGGGTTAATAGGCCTTTAGCTTTACTTCAAATACCATGGAACATATTGGGGATTTGAGGCAGAGAAGTGGAAAGATTCAGGTTAGTTTTACAAGGATCATTCTTGGGGTCCCTGGCTGGCTCAGTTGGTGGAGCGTGCAACTTGGGGTTGTGATTTCAAGCCCTGTGTTGGGTGTAGAGATTACTTAAAAATAAAATCTTTAGGGGAGCCTGGGTGGCTCATTTGGTTTAGCGTCTGCAGTAGCTCAGGTCATGATCCCAGGGTCCTGGTATCAAGCCCCACTTCGGGCTCCCTGCTCAGCAGGAAACCTGCTTCTCCCTCTCTCACTCCCCCTTTTTGTGTTCTCTCTCTTGCTGTGTCTCTCTCTGTCAAATAAGTAAAATCTTTTAAGAAAATAAAAGTTGCAAAGAGCAAGTGAGGGAGCGTGGGATAAGCATAGAGAAGTAAGAAGGAAGCTGGCAAGGACAGCTCAGGAGGAAGAAGGAGAACAGCTCCAAGGAGGGCGGGGCCAGGAGTCCTCAGTACTGCAGGGAGAGCAGGGCAATGAAGGTTGCACTCCCAAATCATTCTAAGATGAAAAGGGATGAAGGCAGCCAGACAAAGGACAGGTGAGGATACCATGAGTTTGGCTGGCCAGAAGAGCCTCAGAGGGGGTCCTGTCTGCACCAGGCCTGCAGACAAGGGGCTCAGGCTCAAGGACATGACTACCAAGAAACAGAGCACAGGAGAGACACAGAGGTGAAAAGTCCTGGAGTGAGTAGTTCCATCTGACACAAACCGTGAAGGCACATGGCCTCCCAGGGGAGCCCCCGTAGCCCAGGAAGGAACAAGGTGGCCCACCAGGTTTGTTGTTCTGGGTTAGCAGAGGGTGTTCCTTTTAGAGTCTCCCTGAGGCACATGTACTGCAGATCTTGGTCTCCCTCCAAGGAGCCCGGCCCTCGGCGGTGCGCGACTCCAGCTAAGGCTGTAGATCCGAGTTCAGACTTCCTGGAAGAGTGTTTCAGAGCTGGCACCTCCGGAGTCCGGGGAGGCTTTCTCTGTCATCCTGAAATGATTTTGCGGGGGACCCGAAAATAGTTGTATTACATCTGCGGTGTGGCTTTCCATCCTTTCTCTGATTGCCCTGGACCAATTCAGAGTCACAGCGGGTGACGTTCATTTGACACTGTGTATGTTACGTTACAGGCTGAAGCACAGCAGGCCAGGAACGACATTCCTCTGGGTAAGTAATTGTGTTTTACAAAAAATCAGTCACTTCCCCCACCCCTAAACATTCCTTCCGGACCTCTCCAGCCTCACAAAAATACAGAAACTGTCTTTGGGTGTGCAAAAGCGGAGTCCTCTCGGCACTGTTTAGAGTAGTGGCATAGCCGCTCTGGTCTGCCGCGCAGTGTGCAAGACGAGTGAGGGCTCGTGGTGGCCTTGGGACACGGACCAGTCTCTACAGTAGATGAATGGATGGCTATTTGGAAGAAGTTAAGCTGCCGAAGAAGATATATAGTAAGCTACCATCTCTGTGTCAGAAACAGATTTCTATGCATATACATAAATCTGAAAGGATGTACAAGAAATTGGAAACGAGGACTGGCTTGGGGAGTCGAGAAGAAAGGACATACCTCTTGGCTGGGGAGCAGGAGTGGGGACTTCTCCCCACTGTTTGCATATCTTTATTTTTTTTTTTAAGATTTTATTTATTTATTTATTTGTCAGAGAAAGAGAGCGAGCAGGAGGGCACAAACAAGGGAAGCAGCAGGCAGAGGGAAAAGCAGGCTTGCCGCTCAGGTCATGATCAATGTCCTGGGACTGAGTCCTGCTTTGGGCTTCTTGTTCAGTGGGGAGCCTGCTTCTCCCTCTACCTTAAAAAAAAATGAGGGGCGGTGGGAAGGACACCTCTCAGAAGGAGTCGTGAGGGAGATGGGCCACCAGTGACTCGGGGCCAGCCCTTTGCCACTCGTACCTCTCGGCTGCTCACCATCCAGTGTTCTGAAACTTTCCCACTAGTATGCTTTCTCCAGACGAGGACTCAGACACTGCTTTTCACGAATTATAAAAACAGAAGGAAGAAACGTCATTTTACATTTTATAGACAAACCAACCTGAGGCCCAGAGAAGCAGAGGGACTTTGCCAAGATCACAGTCGGTCAGGGGCTGTGCCAGTGTTAGAAGCAAGGCTCCAGGCTCCGGTGCTAGGCCACTTCCATCCAGCGGGCGCTGGGAATACACAGTGAGCGTCTGTCCTCTTGGAGCTTCCAGCCTGTGGGGCTTCCACACCCAGCACATTGTGAAATATGACATCAAGTTAAGTTTATCCCTAGTTCGAGCTTTTGAAAGAGTCTTCGCTTTAAAACAAGCAAACAAACAGCAAAAAGCTAGCCCGGCCAGATCTGGTGAAAGGGACTGGACCAGAGGCAAACGACCCAGGTCATAATTTTACAACCTCTGTTGTGACCTTGGGAAGGGGACTTATTCTTGATTTTAGTTGACAAACTGTAAATAATCTCGACTTTACTGCCCTGAATGTTACATTAGTATATATAAAAGTCATTGAAAGAGAGGTATCATAGGGATAGTTATGTTGGTAATAAATTAACAATTTGTGCATTTTGGCATGGAATAATCTCTCTCTCTCTTTTTTCTTTCTGGTGTGCATCCTGTTCTATAGATCGTTTGACGATATCTTATTGTCGGAGTAGTGGTCCTGGGGGCCAGAATGTTAACAAAGGTATGGGCACCTTGTTTTCTTTCACTTTATAACTTGGCTGGGAGATGTACTTTCGGAGTTCTGTGTTTACAGTCATATGGAATAAAGGGATTTTTTTTTTTTTTTTTTTTTAGCAGAAGCCTAAATACCACCAGTTTATAATAATCCTCTTTATTCTTTTGAATATGGTCTGATCAGCTGCGGGTTGCTAGGACTCGGGTTGGCTTGTGAGCCTAAACAAAGGGAAATCACAGTGTTGGCAGCTGGCTCTGAGAGCAGGTTTCCTTCGTGGAACCCATCCCCCCATTCTTTTCAGACCCCATTAAGAGAAGCACCGAGCATTTCGTTCCTGGAAGTTCATTTTCGTCCAGCAGTGCCTCACCATCTTTGCAGGCTCCTCCCATCACCAACTTTGTATCCCCAAGTCACACAGGGCAGAAACGTCCCTGGCTGGATGTCTTGCCTCCCTGTTTCAGGATCGTCACCAGCTACTGGGTGCTGAGCCTACCTGAGAGTCTCAGTGACCCGTGCTCTCTCATCCCTTAATTTGCAGTGAACTCCAAGGCTGAAGTCAGGTTCCATTTGGCAACTGCCGAATGGATCGCAGAGCCCGTGCGGCAGAGGATCGCCGTCACGGTAACCACCAGCTCCTTTTCCCATAATTCCTCAGTCTCCCTTAAACCTTTACTCCGGGGACACCTGCGTGGCTCAGTGGGTTAAGTATCTGCCTTCAGCTTGGGTCATGATCCCAGGGTCCTGGGATCGAGCCCCACATCAGGCTCCCTGCTTAGTGGGGAGCCGCTTCTCTCTCTCCCTCTGCCTGCAGCTCTGCCTTGTTGTGCTCTCTCCATCTCTCTGTCAAATAAATAAAATCTTAAAAAACAAAACAAAACCAAAAAAGCCTTTGCTCTGTAGAACTCAGGTTTTCCCTTTGTTCTCTGCAGCATAAAAATAAGATCAACAGGTCAGGAGAGTTGATACTCACCTCTGAATGTAGCCGCTACCAGTTCCGAAATCTGGCAGATTGTCTCCAGAAAATTCGAGACATGATTGCTGAGGCCAGCCAGCCAGCGAAGGAGCCATCCAAGGAAGACGCTGCACTACACAGAATCAGGTCCCAGAAAGGGCACCCGAGCTCCTCTCAGCCGAGTCGTGGGGGTGGGGGTGGGGGTGGCGGCATCGAGAAGACAGAAGGCAGGGGGAGTCCACGACTTCCCAGCAGAGGGTGGGGGAGCTCCGGGAGTGAGAGAGACCGCTGACCCGCAGGGCCCCGCACCGAGCTGCAGCAGCTCTCACCACTCCGAGTCGGGCATCTGGCCTAATTGCGGTCTTTTTGTTTTCAGGATAGAAAACATGAATCGGGAAAGGCTGAGGAAAAAGCGAGTACATTCTGCCCTAAAAACAGACAGGAGAGTGGGTATGGATTGAAATCCTCCTCCAGAGCCGGCATGGCCCTCTTCAGGCGGTCCAGGCTGCCACAGCCGAGAGCATGAACGCCATCAGGAGAGAGAGAGAGAGAGAGAGTGTGTGTGTGTGTGTGTGTGTGTGTGTGTGTGTTGCATGCCACAGCCAGGCTGCCACAGCCGAGAGCATGAACACCATCAGGAGACCGTGTGTGTGTGTGTGTGTGTGTGTGTGTGTGTGTGTGTGAGAGAGTGTGTGTGTGTGTGTGTTGCAGGCCCTGGTTGCAGAGGTCTTCATAGGCAATCACCTGGTGTGTGTGTGTGTGTGTGTGTGTGTGTGTGTGTGTGTGTGTGTGTGTGTGTGTGTGTGTGTGTGTGTGTGTGTGTGTGTGTGTGTTGCAGGCCCTGGTTGCAGAGGTCTTCATAGGCAATCACCTGTTGTCAAACCTTAATTACTCGTTTAATATATGAGCTGCATTAAAACTCCGCAAGAACTGCAGTGGGCTTGGCCTCATTCAGAACGCTTCAAGAACAGAATTCCGACCTTTTCCGTCAGTTGAAACCTGCCCCCTGGAAACAGGACCGAGCTGCGGTGTCTCCTCTCAGGGAACATGCCTCAGGGTGGGAGGGCTGAGACAGGTGAGCCGGCCTCCAAGCTGGGCCTTGAAAAGGGAATAGAATTTTAGTCAGTAGAGGTGGGGGAGGGACGTGCCGGTGGGAGAGAACAGTATGAATAAGGGAAACCAAAGAAAAGGCTGGGGTGGAGGAGCCAAGGCAGCCATCTGAATGGTGGATTCGTGCCAAGGGATTGTGGGAGGTGATTATGGAAAGGGAGACAGAAGCTCAATGTGGAGACTCAAATCCAAGTTCAAGAGTTTAGATTTTAAGAAATGTAGGTGACAGGGAGGGGCGCCTGGGTGGCTCTGTCAGTTGAGTGTCCAAGTCTTGGTTTGGACAAGATGTTGACTCAGGTCAAGATCTCAGGGTCCTGCCCTCAGCGGGGAGCCCCCCCCCCCCCCGCCCCCGCTCATGCACACACGCTCTCTCAAAATCTTTAAAAAAAAAAAATGTCGGTGACAGAGCTGCTGAGGTTCTCTAGTGGGAAGGATACCACGTGTCAGGTGCTGTCGCACGCTGTGGGGTTTTAGAGGCAGGAAAAGAGTGAGTTGGAACTGAAAATAGGTTTTTGCAATCCTCTGGGTACGGGAAGCGCCCGGCTTTTGTCTTCTGGAAGCAGAAGACAAGGCGTGTACGGATTTCTTAGGATGTTCTCTATGATTCTGATCTAGTTCACGCGTTCAGCAAATACTGCTTTGTGATGCTCTGAAGGGCGGATAATTAGCCACAGTAGTAGGTACACCGTGTGAGCCGGGCCCTCATTCATGTAAGTGTAACCAAGGGACAAAAGTCGTTGATAAATGATTAATGAGTCCCCTCTAGAGACTCAGAGCCTAGGAGCAGGAGAAGCTCGAGGCAAGGCGGTGCCACATTGGCCTGCTTATTCGTTAATTCAACAAACAGTGAATGCCAGGCACTGGGCGACATGCCAGGCACTGGGCGATGTCCCAGGGACTCAGCGGTGAACAAGAAAGTCCTTTCTCCCAGAGAATTTACATTTGATCAGGTGATGATAAAAAGCTGAGAAGAAAAGTGGGATTCCTGTTACGGTAACACACGCTAAAACGTAAATATCAGGCCTAAATCGGTTCTGGGAACCAGAGAAGCAACTAGTTCCAGCTTGAGGGTCAGAGCAGATAAACTTGGTCGTGGTTCTTGACATAGGAGGGAGAGAGGGGAGGGGCTGGCCGTGGAGCAAGGTGAGGGCTTAAAATGTGACGGGACATTGAGACTCTACCCCTACAGAGGCTGTCAGGAGATTAATCTGTGAATGAACAAGGAGAGCGCGGGGAGATGAGCACAGGCGGGTGGACTGACCCCTGTAGGCGACAGGGACCCATCCTGGAACTCAGGCAGTGGCAGCAGGAACGGAGAGCCAACAGCAGGTGCAGAAGGATGATGGAGACAGGAAATGGGCCCAGGAATGGACCCAGGGAGCAGGTGCGTGTGTGCCATGCATGGTGCTGCGTGGACACCGGGAAGGCACAAAGGAGACAGCCTTGGGAGGATGGTGGGGTGCAGATGGTTTTGCCTGTGAGTAGCTGACCCATGGGGCCTGAGGAGGAGGGGAGGCCTGGGGCTGGGAGTGAGGCCGCAGTTGGAGGCTGCAAGATGGAGGACACGAGTGGAGTCTTGGGAATGGGTAGGAGCAGCTGAGGAGGAGGCAGAGCAGAACCTGAGGGCTTGCTGGGTGAGATGGTGGCAGTGGGAAAACCAGAAAAGGCATCCCCGTGGGCTGACCCTGGAGCAAAGCGATGGACCTCAGAGGACTTCAGAAGACCTTAGTGGCACGTGAAGGGACCTGGAAAGGCATTCAGGGCACAGAGGAGGGGATGAAAGGGAAAGAGAAGCAACAGCTTGAGGGACAGGGGATAGAGCACAGGAGTAGGACCCACCCTTTAAAAATGCTGGGTGCTCGGATGCCTGGCTGGCTGCGCGGGTAGAGCATACGACTCTAGATCTCGGCGTCCTCACTTCCAGCCGCATTTTGGCAGTGGAGCCCACTAATTAGGAAAGCAATAACCTTTAAAAGGCGGCGGGCAAAAGAACGAGCACAGGTGAAAATGATTCCATGTAGTAGGTCAAAGCAAGGCCAAAGTGCTTTATGGTGAGTATTTAGTTGGAGGAGATGGTGACTGAGGGGGAGGAGACCTCTGGGATGCAGGAAGTGCCTGCTCTCATCCACTTTGTCACATGAATGTCACACCTCAAGGAACGAATTGGTGAACTTAAAGAGCTCCCTCAAGGCCGGGGACAGGAGCCAGGCGGCCCCAAATTCCTGCTCCTTGCTGAGGTTAGGCAGGAAGGGGATGGGTTTCTGCAGACTCTCCACATGTGGGAGCGAGAAAAGCAAAGAAGAATGTCCAAGTTCCCTGGGCCCTGGACGCCTGGAGATGGGGGAGGCAAATTCTCGAGGCAAGCACACGGGGAATAACGGCTGCTTTCTGCTGAAGCTTCTGCTGGAACATCTTTGAGAAATGCACGGATGTTAATAGTGGAGTCTAAACGCGTGTCACATTTAAAAACGAACTCATTCGTTATTTGTATTACTCTTTGTAAACAGTTTCAAAGGAACAAAACATTAGGCTGAAGTATTTATTTGGCTTTATATATATTTGTTTTATCGATGATGTATACTTGCGATTGGAAAGGTTTGTCCTGGTCGTGCACTGTCTGGCGATGGGGAAGACCCTCAGTGCTTGGGTTCCAGTTTTCGTGATGGACGCTATTCTGTTCTCGTTCACTTCCTGCACTACTTTTTCCTAACGTCCTGGACTTTCCGTCAGCTCTGCACCGGGGGGCACAAGGGCTGGGTGGGGCGTCAGGCTTGCGCGCCCGTGCTCGGGGGTCTGGCAGCCCCGCGCCCCGCCGCTGCCGGCCGAGACTAGGGGGCCGGATGGCGCCTTCCGGACTCGCAGGCCCCAGTGGCCTAATGGATAAGGCACTGGCCTCCTAAGCCAGGGATTGTGGGTTCGAGTCCCACCTGGGGTAAAAGCGTTGTTTTTTGGCTTTCTCCTCGCCTCACGCGTCCGTGACTAAACGGCACCAAAAAGTCCGAAGAAGACCGCTCCGCAACTTTTGTACAGCCCACAGGCCGAGACTACGCAGCCGGACTCGTCCCGGAGGCTTAAAGGTATAGCGGGCCCCGAAGGGGCGCGGTGACGCCAGGCCCGGAGCGGGGAATACGGGCCGCACTGACCCCAAGACTCTGGGCAAAGCCGAGGCCCTGGTAAACTGCGCGGCAGGAGCGGGCGGGCCGGGCCGGGAGCCGGGGTCCGGCGTCAGGGCCCAGGTACGAGGAGCCCTCGGGACGCGGGTCGTCATCGCGGAAGTCGGGGTACACAGAGGTCCGCGCGTTCCGGACACCAAAAGTTGCCGCGGGGAGAGCCACCCGCACCACCCCAGGTGGGACTCGAACCCACAATCCCTGGCTTAGGAGGCCAGTGCCTTATCCATTAGGCCACTGGGGCGCGACAACACGGGGCTCCCACGTGGTCCGTGGTAACGCGCAGCCGCACGCCCGCGACCCTCCCGCGGTGCCGCCACGCTGGCGGCCGGACCGCGCGCCCCGAAACCGTAGCGGGCTCCTGCCAGCTGCCCGAAAAGCTAGAGTCCGAGCCCCGCGGGGACCACAGGGCGCTGGCGGCGCGCAGGTGCACGGAGAGGAGCGGGCTTCCCGGAAGGCGAGTGCCGAGCGGCCTCGGAGACCGGGGAGCGGACGAGGAGGGAGGCAGAACGAACCCGCAGACGAGGCCGAGCGGGGCTGCTGTGGCCCGCGTCACCGAAGGGCATGCGCCCCTCACCCAAAAAGAAACCGACCACGAAGGGACTCGAACCCTCAATCTTCTGATCCGAAGTCAGACGCCTTATCCGTTAGGCCACGCGGCCGCGACGCCCAGGGGCTCGCCGTGTGCAGGCCAGGTTCAGCCCCGTCGCTGGTGGCGGCACGGGCGGGAGAGGACCGCGCTCGCCGGGCCCCAAGGTGCGTCACAGGTGTACTAGGGCCAGAGCCAGGGCGCAGTCCTTGCGGCAGCGCCAATGCTGGTGTAGTTGGAGGTCGCTAAATAGGTATCCTGGCAGAGCCGGTTACGTAGGGGACCGCGTGGCCTAATGGATAAGGCGTCTGACTTCGGATCAGAAGATTGAGGGTTCGAGTCCCTTCGTGGTCGATACGTTTTAATCGTGAAGAGATGCTATCACAACCTTTACAGCAACTGGGTCCGGGGCTCTACCCTTGTTTTAGACACAGTCGGACCTCCGTACCCCTTCCTAACTGCAGCCCCCTCACCTGAGGCTGATTGTGAGGACACCCATCCAATCGACTTTTGCACCTAGGAACTTCCGGGGCTGACGTCATTACGCAGCCACACGGCGTCACAATTCAAGAGGCATGTGATCGGGCGCCGTTTGCGTGAAGCCCCAGTGGCCTAATGGATAAGGCACTGGCCTCCTAAGCCAGGGATTGTGGGTTCGAGTCCCATCTGGGGTGAGGTAGTTTACAGGTGGAGATCATTTTCCTTTCCTTATCAAGGTAAAAACAAACACCCAGCGGGGAAATCTCTTCTTCAAAGTGTGTGTTTGTGTAAATCTTCTCTTCTTCAAATCGTGTGCGTGTGTGTGTGTGTGTGTGTGTGTGTGTGTGTGGTTTTTTTGGTGTGTGGATGCGTGGGGGGGGGTTGTTTGTTTGTTTTTTTTTT